CTGAGGCGTGGTGAGGATGACGGGGATGGGGAAAGTGGGAATGAGCATGGTGGGGATGAAGGCCATGGGGATGGGGATGTTGATCTGTGCTGTCACGAAGTTTAACATTTATAGCAATTTATTATTTTTATTGTTATTAGGTAACGAATAGCTGCTAAAGGACCTCTGAGGCGGCGAGAGGCCCTGCGGGGAGCAGAGCTGACACCCTGTGTTTAACAACCCCCAGCCAGAATGGGGCGGAAAAAGGAGCAAAAGGGTCAGGATCATTCCAGGAGGGCCTGGAGCTGGACAAAGCCTCGGTGCTTCTCAGCCTTGTTTCCCCCAGCCCTTGCTTGCCCGGCTGTGAGGTGTGAGCCTTGCTTCCCCCCTTCTCTCTGCTTCCCTCCTGATAAAAATTTCGAAGATAAATTATGTCTGGGAGCAGAAGCTGCTTTTCTGCTCATTCCTTCTGAGTGTCACTTCTAACTCTGGTGTGTGGTGACAGCAGGGATGGCCATACCAAGGTACCAAGGTGAGGGGTACGGGCCCAGCCCCTCAGAGCGCACAGAGAGCCCCTGTGCTCATCCATCCTTCCCGAGGATGTCCCAGGACCTCCTGCCTCAGTTTCCCCAGCCAGAGCCCTGGGCAGGCTTCTCTTGCCCACCCACACCTGGGCTCAGGATTAATCCAGCTGCCACCTGTCAAGTCTCCAGGGGACCCTGACACCGTGTCCAGCTGTTCCAGAGAAATGAAAGGTCGTGGTCCCTCGGGTGTCACAGAGCACAAGGACAAGGGCAGCGAGAGGGGTGAGGAAGGGATGGGGCTGTCTTGGGGACTGTCCCTACCCCGCAGCCCCCTCCCAGCACCAGCCCTGCCTCCCACTGCCAGTCCCTGCCAGGTCTGGGAGCAGAACCCAGCTGCGGGGAAGATAAATAGCCCCATTTTGCATGCTAATGGCATCCCAACCCCCAGCCGCTTCCCATCAATCTATTTTTGGGTTTCGCTGGAGAGAAAAAAAAAAAAAAATTCTTTTGCCAAACAGTTGGGGTGGCAGTGAGGGAGGGAGGCTGCAGTGTCCCAGCTCTCCTGTCCAGCCTGGGGTAGGACAGAGCCCATGGGAGCATCCTCAGCACCAGGGAGGTGTGTGGGACACCCTGACTCCCCAGCCTGTCCCAGTGAGCCTGGACCCCTCTGAATACCCAGAGCTGCATCCATGTTCTAGCACATCCAATGTCATGGAGCACCAGTGGGTCTTCCCTGTGGGCTGAATGTGGTCAGTTTAGGGGGGTTGGAGGTAAATTGGGTTCCCCCATCCTGCCAGAGGATGAAGGACTAAGGGGAGCCCATCAGGAGCCTCCCAAACCCATGGATGGATGGGGACAGCAGGGAAGTGCCCAATCTCTGCTGAGGCCCTGAAAGCTGCAGGAATTTCTTTTTTGGGACAATCTCCTGAAAAACAGAGCTGAGGTGAGGGATGGCAGCAGGGTGAGCCCACAACAGGGCTGGTGTTAGGGCTTTGAATCTTCTCTCATTACATAGCAACTCTTACACAACAAAATAATCAGAATAATTTATAGGTTAAGTAAAATCAACCATAAATGAGTTTTAATCATCTCTGGGGTTGGACCCTGTGTTTAGTATGTCCTGGTGAATGCAGGGGAGAGCACTGGCTGTGTGTCCCACCGAGCCTGGGCAGCAGAGGCACTGGGAGCTCTAAGCTGATCTTCCCACACTGTTGGAGCACAGCAGGGATCGGGATCCAGCCCTCAGGCATCCTCTCCAGCCCAGCTTTACTTTTTGGGCGCTCCATGGGTTTCTCCTTGGGTTTCCTTTTGCTGTCCAAGCCTGGCACTGGGCTGCTGCAGGAATGTGACCAAAAGCCCAATGGGGTAGGTAATCAGCAATTATTCTGATTAATGTAACTGGGGGGTGGTGGGGTGGGAAGAGAGGTGGGCAGAAATCCCTGACATGCTCCTGGGATCATCAGGGTCAGGAGGTGGCCCAACCCCAAGCTGGGAAGGAGTGGGGTGTTGTGGGGCATCTGCACTGTGCATTGCTCTGCCCTCCCAAAACACCTTAAAGCAGGGTGTGAAGCAGGAAGAAAAGATGTTTTCTCCCTGGTGCAACAAAATCTGAACAGGTGAAGGAGCAGCAGAACCTGTTAAAGTTGCAAATATGCAACTTCACTTTTACCTGCAGGGAGCTGCTGCCGGCTCTGCGTGTTGGCACAATGCTTCTTACCACCCTTGACAGCATTTCTGGGGATGGGAATAAAACCCCAGAGGGATGAGACCACCCACAGCAGGTCAATCTCTCTCCTGGGTGCACAGAGTCATCTCACTTCTGGTTTGGGACTTCCCAAGCTCAGTTTGTGTGTTTGTGTGGCTGAGGAAAGCAAAGTGGGAGGGGATGCTGGGCACACAAATGTCCAGAATCATTCACAAAAGTCTGAAAGTAAAAAAAAATCACTTGGATGAGCACAAGGACGAGCTTACCAAGGCAGATCCTGCCAGGGACTGGGATCAGGGTCCAGCCCAAAGCCCGGCAAGGAGCAGCCCAGCCCACAGCCGGGTCACTGCGGCCCCTTGCTCACACAAAGCTGCTTCTGTGTCCCAGGGGAGAGCAGAGGCGGCAGCAGCTTCTCCCGGGACAACGGGAAAACAAACCCCAGGGCTCTCCCGAGGCTGGGAATTCGTGTTTTTAAATATCACATAGCACTGCAAGAATGCATCCGCAGGGCAGGATCAGCGCTGGGGCTCATCCTAAACACTGTTTGCTGCTGCCTGCCTGTGGAAATAGGAGAAGGGGAAATGGCTTTAAATTAAAAGAGGGGAGATTCAGATTAAATATAAGGAAAACTATTTTACAGCAGGGGTGGTGAAACACTGGCTCAGGAAGCTGTGGATGCCCCAACCCTGCAGTGTTCAAGGTTAGGCTGGACAGGGTTGGGATCACCCTGGTCTAGTGAAAGATGTCCCTGCAAAAGCCAGAAGGTTCGAATGAGATGGAATGGACTTAAAAGGTTTATTCCAACCCAAACTATCCCATGAGTCTATGAAAATCCCTGTTGCAGAACACCTGCCTGCAAGCCCTGAGCAGAAATCCAGTCCTTTTCTGTGTGCCAGTGCCAGGCACAGGGACAGGACATCCCAGAGGTGCCAGGAATACCTGGAGCACTGTGAGCTCTTCAGTTGAGCCCTGAGAGGGCAAAGAGCCCAAATTCGGCCACTGAAGCCACACATTTGCATCCTCAGCTAGTGTGGTGCTTGCTGGGGAGTGGTGCCATTGCTTTGCACTCCCAAATGGGATGATTACTTGGGTTTCAGACTTGGAAGTGCGAGAGAAGACTAAAACAGGGGCTTATTTTTAATCCCTGTTGTCTCAGTTCCTAAATTAACACTTTTGGAGCCTGTTCTCACTTGATTATCACCCGATGCCGTGAAATCCTCTGAAGACAGGATGTCCTACTTAACAAATCAACTCTGTATTAGGTAAATATACATTCTGAAGTTTTAATTAGTCCCATGCTATGATACAGAGGTGCCCTGAGGACTCATCTGCAGCATCTGCTCCCCTCTGCACCCCAAGCCGAGCTCTGCTGTGCGGCGGGAATTTTGCCAGAGCCGGCAGCAGCAGGTGCCAAGATCCCACAGCAGCTGGGAGGGAGCGATGTGCCTCTCAGAGTCTCCTCCAAAGCCATTGGAGGTCTCAATGACAATTAGCAGAGATTCCTAAAGGGTCTTCAACACAAGGCTCACACCCTCAGCAATCCAGAGAGCGGAGCTGGCATCAGCCGCAGGTTTGCTGGGAAGAATCCCCACGTGGGAGAGAGCTCAAGGGCACGGTCTCTCGCCAGCAGAATGTTAATGATGCTGCCCAAATGGCATTCCTTAAAATTGTCTTTTCATCCCGTGATGTCCAAAGTTAAGAGCTCTGGCAGATGGACCGATGTTTCCCAAGGTGCCCAGTGATTTGGGCTGCTGGATGAGTTGGGGGAGGGGGGTCCCTGTGCCAAGGGCAGCATGTCCATGGTCCTGCCCTCCAGCCCACTGTTCCAGGTTCATCTCCAACAGCTGAGGTGTCAGCAAAGCTGCTGCCTCTGGTCATCATTGCCCCGGAGTCACAGGCTTGGGTTTGGGGGATTTTCACTCATTCCTGCCACCCAAGTAGTGCAAGCTCCAACCATGGGCAGGGTAAGGAGTGAAGGTGAAGGTGAAGGCAAAAATGAAGGTGAAGGTAATGATGAAGGTGAAGGCAAAGGCAAAGACAAAGGTAAAGCTGAAGGTGATGATGGAAATAAAAATGAAGTGGTGATGAAGGTAAAGGCCTGCTAAATCTCCCAAAACATCAGGTCTCCCATTTGCCTTCCAATTCTGTTATTCCACCTCCTTTCTGCTCTCTCCATCGGTTCTGCACTCCTATCCATGGCTCCGTCCTAAAAACCAGTGTCACTTGCCCTCTCCAGCTCCCCAAACCTCTCCTCTTCAGTAAGGGGTGAATTTAAATCATCTGATCTCTGCAGCACCAGGATAACAACCCTTGAGGGACATCAGTTAATACAACCCACCACCCCCACTGGGAGCAGCACTCCTTGTATCCTGAGAGGTGCAAGCAAAGGTGAGAGCAGAACACCGAGCACTGGGATGTCCGAGCAGTTTGAACTCTGGCATTTCCTCGTGATTTTGCAGCCTGGCTGCGTGAGCAACCAGCTCCCAGATCCCAGAGCAGCGTGCAGTGGCAATCAGAGCACAGCAAATCAATTCATGCCAGGCTGTACCTCGCAATGTAAATAATAAATCGGATTCAGTAGCAATTGAATGCAGCCCGGAGCCCTGAAATCAAGCTTGAAGAAAATAAGAACTTGAGGCTGTTAAGATGCAGCAGGGTGGTGTATGGTCATTAGCTGTGAGATGGTGGAAAACTCTGCTTGGATAATGGTTTTCATTTGTGCCCATTCTGAG